AGCACCTGAGACTATGCTTGAAATACATTAGAAAAATCAGCACTTGAGATGTATTCTTTTATACCAATAGTATCTGATGATGATAATATCCTTGTAATTACACCACTTTGAGCTTCTCTGGAAGGTCATACTTGGGTTTTACCACAATCCTTCAAAATATTTGTAGCTGTTGGTTTACCTCTATGCCAGAATATTTCCTTTCCCTCTAGCCTCAGTACACTGTCCTACAGAACAGTAAGTATCTGAGATTCCTTGGGTTTATGGCTAGCAGTTGAGTTGGGATTGTATGCTGTAAACAAAGCAGCAGGTTTTCTCTGACTCATAGAATTTTTGGAGCTATGTGACAGCTTCTAAGGCACAGACATGAAGACAGAAATTAATTACCATCTTACTGAAAAAAATGATGAAAAACATTCTGCCCCCTACCCCAAGCCCTATTTGCAGAGGATTGGAGTCCTTCTCCTTTCTCTATACACAAAAATAAATTTTACTCTGGCTAAACAACCTTGAAAGAAACATTTGCCTGGAAGATTAATGAACACCTTCTGCTGAATTACTTGTTCACCCAAAGCTCCATCTCCTTGGTGTATAAGCAGCATGTATTTGAAGACAGCAGCAGACATAGGAACAGCTGTGGTAGTTACTGAAGGCTTTCCTCAATCCAACAGCTGAGAAGACCCTCTTACCTAGCTTCTTAAAAGCTTCAGTTTCACTACAGGTGGATCAGAGGAGTGAAGGCTTAGATTTGGTGAGAGTGATGAAATGAAAAAGTGTGAGAAAGAGTATTTGTATTCCAGCACATGGAACATGGTTTTTCACATTAAATCCTTTAAATCCATTTAAATCCATTAAATTCAGGTCTCATCAAAACTGTGTGTATGCATTTGTTTGTTTTACAAACTGGAACTTTTTATCATTCAAATTATTTAATAAAAAAATTCATTACACAATCAGTTTGACATCCTTATCTGTTTTTATTGCTGCACAAATTTGCATTCAAACTAAGGTGCTCTGTAAGCACTGGTGTAAGTAAAGTCTTTGTGGGTTTCAGGTGGGTTCACACCTTGAGTTCTGATCAAAGTGAAAAGTGTCCCTCCCCTGTACTTGTGTACAGTAATATAGCTCAACAGTTCTTTTTTCTCCTTCACTAAGGAACTTATCTGATCTCTCTCTTTTCTATTCATCCACTCATTTTCATTCATTCAATATTGAACAAGTGAAAATGAAGGTGTTGAATTAACTTTAACAAACAATTCCAAAATATACTATGTAAGACCTAGAGAGAAAGTGATGACATCATCTCTAAGAAATCTGCCTGAACAATGGAGAGAAATTGAACCTATGCAGAACATGCTAAATTAGTGTAACTCTGGAACATGATAGATCTCAGCTTGTGATTTGGCAATAAGAATTATCATCCCCAGTGTTTTTTTTCCCTGTCATCAAAGAGGTTTTGTTCAAAACAATCATTATTATATTTTTTACCTGTGTGGAAACAAAAACAAAATTCTTGTCAGTGTGCTCTGCAGATGTCACAAACCCCTTGAAATGATAACTGGGGAGCAGGACAGTTTTAGCTCTGCACAAGAGTGTGAATCACATGCTAGACTGTGCCCACATTATGGATGAGAATCTATGACACATTTACCAGTGGCATTTGTATTTTAGGAAACTGACTTGAAAGCAAATTTGAGCTGAACATGAGCTCAAAATGGGATAGAATAGTTAAGAACAGAGTGACAATCTTGTATCTAAAAGGAGGGAACTACTAAACAGATGAGATAGGGTTATCACTTGAAGGCTTATTAGTGAAAATTTTTATTCAGTTCATCCACCTGCACCTTAGCAACAATACTAAAATGATAGGAACAGTCCAGAACAGAATGATGAAGAGTATTTTAGACTTGGAAAATCTTCCCAATTCTGAGAGTAAAGAAGTTAAAACTGTAAGCTTTGGCATCTCAAATGTATTGCAATGCATTAAGCTGGTGGATCACTTTGCAGAAAATTCCTTTGATGTGCTGGCTGCTCAGAGGTGTGTTCTTTACCTTGTGGACAACACAAAGCTGTTTTTCCTTGAGGAAAAGGGTGTTAGCTGTTTTACTTTCCCCACAGTTAAAAGTGAACACAAGAACCTCTGCTGCAGAGTCACTAATGCACTATCTTCTTGTTGCCTGACAGTGACTTACCCTACAGTGCTGCCTCCCCAGTGAACTCAAAAATAGGTTAAATGTGACGTGGTCAGGACACAAAAGTACAAACATGGGAAGCTGTCATATTTTTGAGGTGCATTTAAACTAACACGATCTAGCAGCTGGAAGCTGAAGCTGAAAACATTGAGACTGGAAATTAAAACCTAGTTTGTTAGAGATGTCAGGTCTATCTATTGCATTCTGGTGGCTGAAATTGCAAATGTTTCTAGAAGCTTGCATGGAAATTCTATCTTTGATACAGAGAATACCTTAGAAACATCTTGGATCTGATTTGTCCAAGCAGTCATATTACACAAATAATGACATTTCCTGTAAAAATTAATATATTTGTAAGCACAGAAAGTTTCAAGGTTTCTTCTGCCTCTTTGATGTGTGACACCAACAGTAACCATACTCCCAGGTGTATAAATGGTAAAGATGTCCGGATTGAAAATCAATTTATGGACTACAGCTATCCTGATTTTAACAGACCCTTTAAAATCTATTATTTCTTTATAAACAACCCCTCATAAATTAGAATTTGATAATAAAGAAAGAGAAAGCACAGCCAGTGGCAAATGAGATTAAAGTTAGGAAGGTCAGGCTGGAGGCTGAGCTCTTGCTCTTGCATGTCAACATCATGGCCAATTCCATTAGCATTCAACTGAAATGTGAGCTTGTGAACATCTTGCCATCACTCAAGACACATCTGCAGAAAGGTTGCCCAAGATACATTTATGTAAGATGAGCACAATGCCTGTTTCAACTTTTTTGTAATATTTGTGTTTCTTCTGGTCAATAACCTGCTCCCATGCTGCTTAATAGAACATTGCACTCACCATTTCCTTCTCCTTAACAGCTTTTCCACTTGTTGATGCCTTTAGACCACAAATAAGGAGGAGGACAACCATTTACTTAAAGTCCCAAATCCCCATTGCACCTGGAGTGCCACAAAAGCCCACAGAAAAAAACACTTTTGTCATCTGAATCTACAGAAGAGGTGAGGTTAAGTGGCTGAACTGAGGTCAAATTTGCACATGATTTTTAATGCCACTGAGGAGTCTTAGGAAAGTTCATCCTATGCTATTTGCCTCAGCTTTTCTTCTTTGAAGGTTAAAATTGTAGTTTCAAAAATATGCAGGTCTGCTTTGCACACACACATACACATACACACACACGGATGCATACTAAAGGTCTTGCAGAAAATATGAGCCAAAATCTGACAGGAACTACTATTCTGTCAAAATTTCATTTCAGGAGCCTTAGACACCGGCTCTCTCAGTTTTCCAAGAGCAGGGCCTGATGTACAAGGTTAATCACAAAGATTCATTTTGTTGAGGGATCAGAAACCCAAAGCTGGCTCTATGTAATACCTAAATCCCTTAATGCAACCAGCAAAGCCTCAGTGCCATCCTCTAAAGCTGATGCTTTCTATTAATTCCAGATACCTGTGCATTCATCTTTCTTTTCAGGCCAATTCCTAACAGAATTTAATAGTTCTGTGGTTGAAAGAAAGGCAAACTTGCAGTTCAGAAGGACAGGAGATATACTGCTGGCCTCTTTGTAGTTAATAGGACTTTTATTACTGCCCTCAGTTCATGATTTCACCAAACGTATTTGATTATGCAAAGTTACACTTCTTTATCATTTTCTGTACATTTATTCACATGCAAATGAAAATCAGAAACACTTCTGAACTCTGCTTTTCACATGGCAATGAAAGGATTTCCAAGAAAACAAATAACAAGAAAAATTGCAGGCATATGTGTATTGTTCTTTAATAATTTCCCTGGTTTAAATTCAAAGCTCCAATCTACTGACTCCTAAGATTAAGACCTTTTCATCAAAACCTTAAGACCATGACAAGACAAAATCCTACCTGTAAATCATCAGAACTGATGGTATTTAAAACCTGATTCTGAATTTTGTTCTTTCATACGGTTTTTATAAAGATTCAACAGAACACACGGTAACCCTACCACTGATTACATTTCTCCATCTCACCATGAAGGCAGGGAAAATGGAATGGAATAACTTACAAAGACAAGGACAATGTGAAATTATATTCCTGGAATAGCCCCTTTTCTCTGTACCACTTCAAATAGGTAGTGAAAGCTGACTAATCACACTAACATTTAAGGACATTATTTTATAATAATGGCTGCAAGACATCTTTGTTCATACCACTCTGTAAAGAAATGGCCTGAGCAAAAAATATGTTTTGTGTCAATCTCCCATTTATGGGACTAAAAACACAGAGCAGCCACAGTGTGTAAAAATCACAATACAGTTTGTAGAAATAAAGCAGAGGCTGCAATTCCCAAAATGGTTCAAACAAATAATCAAACAAACAAACAAGCAAGCAATCTGTTAGAAAGTCTGAAGATAGAATAAATATTGTCAGCTTTTTCTGCACCAGGAGAGCTACAAGAATGTCCTTATATTTTGAGGTGCTTTCTGTCAACCCGTTTGGCTGGTCCATGATACAGCTGAAGTAATTGTATGATAGACATTAATGTATGCATTGCAAAAACACTTTATCTGGCTAAAATTTGGAAATATTTCTTTAAAAAATCCCAGATATGAACTGCTTATATGACACACTGATATAGCCTTATCTCTCAATGGTCCTATATCCTAAGAATGCGGACTGACAGGTGATCAGGTGAGATGGTAGTTATAGTGTAATGGAGATATGGTTACAAAATCTTTTGCTGAAAATGGCCTTGCCGCTTCAATGATGGCCACAAATATTCCATTACGAGTTGAGTGTGTGTGTAAAAAGATAAGGACACTATCTACATTTACCTACTCTGATCCCAGTTGGCTGCAAAAAGCAGAAGAATCTTCCTGCCACAGTGGTCGCGATTTTCCAATACTCCCGGAAACCCATCTGTCAGAGCCCGTTTGATTCCTGGATCATCAGCCTTGAAGTTTTTGAACATATCCAGATTTAATTGGCGGTATTGGAAGTACTGAGCCAGCAGTCTGAAGGCCTCAGTTTGGTGAAACTTTCTGGCTCGGAGAAATCTCAAGATGAAGGCATCATCTGTACGTAAAAACCCAATGTCAGGCCTCGTGATGATCATGTCCCTGACTTGCTGGATATCCTGGTGCAAAATGTCTGGGTTTTCATTCAGTTCCAGGCGGGCTTTCTCTATAGTCTCTGGACTAAGTCCAGCTTGTAAATGGGTCATCTCTGCAAAAACCTCTTTTCCAAATCCTTAACTTCAGATGTTTTAGTAGAAGTGCTGATCCCATTCAACTGATGGTCTGCTGTGAGCGTGAGCCATTCAGATGCTTTTTGCTATCAAGCTGGTATTTAACAAGTGAAAGCAAAAGGCTTTTTTTATTCTTGCAGACGAACAGGCAGTTCACATGTACTATAATCCATCCAAAGGAAAGTGTTGCTTATTCCTCCACTTACTAAAAGAAAAAGAAAATATATAAAAGAAAGATTAAATGTGTATATAAAGCTTGTAGGAATGCATTTCTGAATTTATTTAGCCATAGAATTTCTTTGTGTAGGAGGATACCAGTCACATAATTTCAGAATGGGTGCATTAAAGATAAGGCAGTAATGCAAGTAAGAAAGTACATCTTGAATGTATGTTTTCAGGCTTTCAGAAAAGCAATCAGATTTATTGACAATTAATACTAAGCTGTATCAGCTTGCTATTAGAATACACTTCTCAAAGTTGTCTTACAGAAGTGTGGGAGTTTCAGCATCCCTAATTTCAAGCCAAGAATGATAACTGCAAAAATAATAGTATTTTTTTTCCTACCATTAACGTGAGCAACATTTCAGCTTCAAAAGTACTCAGATTTATCCTCATCATACTAAGCAGAACAACTGTTTGATTTAGTTTTATCACCTGTACTATCAGCTTGTAGCTCTTCTTGAATAAGACCCTGAGCTGACTGTAAAACTTATTTTTAAAAAACCCAGAACTCCACCAATACCAGGGATAATTTCTACTTTTTAGAAACTCACTGAAAATAGTTCCCATTAAGACTCAATATGTCTTCATGGGAAACTTTGCACAAATAAGGCTCTTGTTCCAATCTGGCAGGGTTGGTGTTTTAGTTGACAAGGGATGTATTTTATTCAAAATTCCTTTCTTTCAGTATATTGTAGCTTTCCTAAATGCCTAGTTCTGAATTCCATTTTGATTTTCGTACTTTACCTAGAGTTTGTTTTTACAAGTGTTAGAAGAAAATCTGCTTAAGCCGTTATGTATGAGCAAAATGGTACAGTGAATCTCTTACATTTCAGCGACATAATTAGCAAGAGGCTGTCATCGAAGTCTGTGTAGCTACACTTGTGTGAAATAAGATCAAGGTCTGTTCCAATGTGATATGTGTGTGAGGAAAGATCAAGATCCATAGAATTTTTCAGCTATCACAGAAACAGACAAGCAAACAACCCCCACCCCCCGCACTGCTTAACTGATCTCTAATTTCTGGAAGAGAAAAATTTGTTTTAAACATTTAAAGAGAATTCCTCAGTGAAAGACATACTTTTTGTATTTGAAGAAAGCTGTTCAGAGAGTTGTGAATTATTTATGGCAAAACAACAATTTCATTCAGATACTCCCCTGGGTTCAGCATTGTCAGATCAAACAAAGGGGAGAGCAGCAGCCAAAGCACTTCTTGGTCCCGGATTTGCTCAAAGTTATGTTGCAAGACCTGGAAGTCACTGAGCTCAAGAGATGCCTCAGTTCCCTGCTTTGTAACCTTGCATGTTATTGATAAAAAATACATTTTAGATGCCACAGCTGCAGCCCCAGGATGAAATCCCAAAATTTTAGTACAAACTGTTTCTGCATATTTGCTTAAAGGACATTTATGGTGGGAGATAAGCTTTTCATTTAACAGCAATATGAATTGGACATTTCTGTGGGTGACACAAAGGAGAGTTTATCAAGCATCCTCTTTCTGTATTCACTGTGGAGCTGGAGTTGAAAAGAGCTACCTGCAGAGCAGAGTATCTGATGATTGATCAGCCTGGGAAAACTCGAGGAAAGGCAGAGCTGGGAGAAAAGAGGGCTTTGAAAAGGCACTACAGAGAGCAAATGATTCCAAAAAACAAGTCCCCAGGTTTTGAGGGGTAGTCCATGAGTGCAGGCTATCTAATTCTTAAATAAATTAGAGCTGTTATAAAGGTGGATTCCTTATATAAAAATAATGTAGCAGTTATTTTCTTTACTCTTGCCTCTATCAGACCAAATTAGAATAACTCCAGTGGTATTAAACGAATTCCACTGATGTAAAATTACAGTAGGCTGCAGAGAAACCAGGTTAATATTTTTGTGACTAAGATCTCAAATTAATGGTGACATCAGCATTTTCATGCATAAATCATGGATTTTGTTACGATTGCATCCATGAGCTAGTTAGGAGAGCTAGGAGTATTTAAGGGTGACACTGTCATTAGGGACTGTGGTGCCAGGATTGGTCCCTCCCTAGTTTTAACAGCAAGTGTAGAGTATAGAAACTCTTTGTTCCCAAGGGTGCTAAATAGACATCCAGAAGCAAGAAGCTTATCTGGGGTCTGCGTTAGCTCTGGCTTAGAACCTAGTATGAATTACAACACATTTAGCATTCCTGTGGCTTAGAATCGCAAAACTGTGGAATCACGGAATGTTTTAGTTTGGAGGGGATCTTTGAAGGTCATCTGGTCCAACCTCCCTGTCGTGGGCAGGGACATCTTTCACTGGATCAAGTTTTTAAAGTCCCATTCCACCTGGCCTTGACCATTTCCAATGTTTGAGCATTCACAGCTTCTCTGGGAAATTTGTTTCAGAGCTTCACCACCCTCATCATAAAAAAAAATTTCTTCTTTATATCCAATCTGAATCTGTTCTCTTTCAGTTAGCCCTTGTCCTATTACTACAGACCCTAGTAAAAGGTCTGTGACCATCTTTTCTTGTAAGCCCCTTTTAGGTACTGGACAGCTGCTGTAAAGTCTCCTTGGAGCCTTCTCTTCTCCAGGCTGAAACCCCCCAAATCTCTCAGCCTGTCTTCATAAGAGGTGCTCCAGCTCTCTGATCATTTCTGTAGCCCTTCTTTGCATCTGTTCTAAAACATCCAAGGATTAGCAGCAGATAACAGTCACACACACACACACATATACAATTCCCAGTGGTTCATCCATTTTCTAGGAGTTTATGGGAATAAAACTGTTCCTTCCTCTGGTCCTTTTCTGTCTCCCACCTCCACTAAGATGCTTCTTTGGCAATAAGGGAAATTCTTGAAAGGTCAAATGCAGTCTGCTCCAGAAAAAAATGAAATTTGATCAAGGAAATAAAGTCTGGCCCTTTTCATTGGTTCCCCAACTATTTAATGTCAAAAAATATTCCTATTTTTATTAAAGTTTCCTACTCTTTTTTACTAATTTAAATGCTCAGGATTATCCCAAGGTGAGGGAGATACAGTCCTTTCTTGTCAGATGTTGTTGCCAAAAAAAGACTTACTCATTCTAACAAAAGATCCATTTTTAAATGCATTTCAAAGTTTTCTGATAGTGAGCTGAGTTATAACCACAGATTACAGTTACCTATAGACTATCCTGATTATCACCTGGAACAGACTGCACTAAAATACTTTATTGGTGTGAAATTATATATTGCAAAACAATCTAAAATATGTATGAACAATTTTGTCACTCTCAGAATTGCAGGGCAAATCATGAATTTAGCAAACCACATTAGCACCATTGCCTTCAAGGAGCTTGATAAACATCAGTGAATGATTTGATTCTCCCACTGCTAACCTTGACAATAAGTTTAGTGCTCCATAGCTACCCAGTTTAACTGTCGCTGCACTTTCTCAAATGGTTCTGATTTATTCTGATTCCCAAGATATAACAGAAGCTTCATCTCCATTTTCACCTCCTCCCACACATGGCAATTTCTTCTTCTCTTCCGGTGTTGTGTACAGCTCTGATCCATCTGCCAATGTTTTAGATGTTTACATCTTTGTTCAGTTTGGTGCAGGGTTGTTTTTTCTTCCAAACAAGCATACTGGCCTTCTTTTCCTATTTTGAATATTGTTGCTGTGTATTGGCACACTAGAGTGTGTTACAGTCTCAACAGCTGTTTTTCTATCTTGTGACTCTTTGTTCCCAAGGGACTATTTCCTCTTCTAACATCTTTTCACAGCCATTTATAATAAATCATCTCTCCAAAGGAACAAAATTCAGCCTTAAATTAAAAAAAAAAAAAAAAAAAGAAATTACAGGGATTTGCAACACAACATACTAAAACCAAAACAAAGAGGGAAATTTCCACCAAAATTGTGGCATCACATACAATTTTGGTTAATTCATTTTCAGTCCCAGCAAGGGAATGACAAGGGACAGTGAGTGTTCAGCATGGGTAACATACAGAAAGTCGGATACAATTTTCAGACAAGCAGTTTATATTTTTGCAAGATCCTAAAATAAAAAAATAATAAAAAAATAATAAAATGTGTAATAATATTTACTATACAAATTAAACTGAAAATAACACTTTTCCAAAGTATACAAAACACTTTTCGTTCAAAGATTTTAATATGCCTTACTGCTCTCTCTTCAGTGACAGCTTCTGGGTCAGCATCCAATCCCTATTTGCACTGCATGGCCTGGAAAATTGGCCAAAACCTGCCTTCAATGATGATGGCAATTGTCTGGATCATTGTGTTCCTGTCCACTTACCAGTCCCTGCAGCACCACTTGCTCCTTTAAGCACCTCTTGTCCATTTGGCCCTTCCCCATCCAATTCAGTTCCACAAAGATTTTAGCTGTCTCTTAATCTACCAAGTGTTTTCCATCCAGTCCAAAGCTATCTGCCATGAGAAATTTCATTACCACAATTTCCAAACTGAGAAGTCACTAACATTTCTTCCTCACCTGGTATTAAGAGGCATCACTGCTAAGGTTTGGCTCCTTATATAATTCCTAACTCCTAGCTTTTATACAGATATTAGCTGCTGAAATCACGCCAGAGAGGAAGGGAGTGGGCAGAGAGGGAGGGAAAATGGTAATATAGAATGATTTTATCTCAGAGTGTGGGCGCCATCTCATTAAATTTCTTTTTGAAAAATATTTTGATGTTAATTCTGGAAAATCTTTTAGGGTTATGTTTTGCTTCGCAGAGGTTGCTCCATTAGGACAGGGAAGGATGAACCCATACCTGTACCTATAGGAATGGTC